AGATATTGACATTTACTCTTAAAAACTGGCTCCAAAATGGGTTCTTTCCCTGATGCTATAGAAGAACCACCTTTGGTTCCCTAAAGAACCCTACAAAAGCTGAGATGTGTGAGTGTGAAGAAAGTTTTTAAAGCTTAAAGAAGGTCCACATAATGTTAAGATTCTGGGAAGAGCTTTTAGTGTTAAAGGAAATGTGCATTTTCTGAAGGTTACATAAGCCTTTAAAATGTTCTTCACATTCAGAAATCTCTTTTTCAAAGTGGCTCTTTAGGACAGTGGTTTTTAAACTAGTCCTCAGGGACCCCCAGACTGGTCCAAATTTTTGATCCAATCTAACTCGCAATGCATAGAGCAAAATTGTGGACCATCAGGGGGTCCCAGTTTGAGAACCACTGCTTTAGAGACCTAAAAGCTGTTCTTTTGCAGTGTTCATGTTAAAATGATGGAAAACCTGTTGAATGTGGGGCTTTTGGGGCTATATAGAACCATTTTGAAAGGTTCTTTAAAGAACAACAGTTCTGGAGCCATGGGCTGGAACCCCTTTTGGACTATTTTTAAAAGGATCTTCAAAGAACTTTTTGAAATGGTTCTCTATAGCTCCAAAAACTGTCGTAACAAGAACATTTTGGTACTATAGAGCAGTGACAGTTGTTATGTTCTCAAATATCATGAAGACTCCATTGTAAATACAATACCTTTATATTTGAATAGCCTCAAAGTACAACTCAAAAGAGGTATAAAAATTGTTTAATATGCTGTTTATGACATTTGAATCTATAATAACTAAATATCTAAGCACAACAGTCTAATCAGTTAAATAGTGTTTATGATTAAGCGTTTACCTTCCATTCTAACAGCACTCAAACCTATCGCCTTATTGTTGGAGATTTGCCTCTGTGGCTGCCTTGAATTAATACAGTGACTGTTGAGGCATGAAATTTAAATAAAGGGAAGCGTTCTGCAGCAGGGCAGGGCTGAGGACAGCATATATTTGGTAGTCTTTGCACAGAAGTGTTAAAAGGCCCTCGTGCTCACACAGCATCTCCTGAATACACAAACAGGCTCGCTGTGGCTGTTGAGTTGAATGGCGCGGCTCAAAGCTGTTTTTGAGAGGCCGTTTCTCTGCCCTGCTTTGAAAGATAATTCTGAGGAATGTACTCACTGACTCCATTCTCAATAAAGACTATAAGAAAATCAAGAGTGAATACACAGAGGAGATAAAGACAGGCTTTGAGGCTGCTAACTTCGCAATTGGTTCGCTGGCTCATGTGGAGTGAATGTATATTTGCGTGTGTGGAGAGAGAGAGAGAGAGAGAGAGAGAGAGAGAGAGAGAGAGAATAAACGTGTATTGACTGTGTTCAGTCAGTCATTTGAATGTGAATATGACTTTAGCCATACAGAATAGAAGTCTTTAATGTTTTCTGTTAGGTGTGAATTTCGCAGGTGAGGGAATTAGTGCCTCCAGTGTCAGCTTTACCCATTAAACACATATAAAGATTAAAACTCCTCTCTCACACATTCCAGTGTGTATTCCTGTCTTTGTGGGGTGTATGTAAATGCTACCCAACCTTAAAAGGAAATTCCACTGATTTTTCAACATTTCTGCATAATTAAATGGTTAAGATGTAAACAAAAGTCATTCAGAGTGGTTTGGTGTGAAATGTTCTGTTTTAGAGAAACTTATAAAGTCAGCATTGATCACAGTGGTGGTGATAGGAACCAGATGTCTAAGAGTTTAATACCTCCTTACATAAAGTTATACACGAAATGGTTATAAATACATTTCTGGATACCCGAGATATGGTTTTCTGATAGTTTTGAGTTTTGAGTTTTGGCTCAAAACATGCTTTTTATTCATGGTGGAGAGATACATGCACAGTATTTTGAGTGAAAATAGTCCCCATTTTTTCACTGTTTAACATTATTGACATTACATAGAAACTCAGAAGACGTGTAGGTTCACTGGTCATTATGGATGGTAAATAAAGTGGCTGTATTTGTGATACAGTCAATATGACCCCTCATTCTTATCACCACCACTTTGAAGCAATCACATTTGGTAAGTTTTTACAGTGCATTGTAAGACTTTAAATGACTTTGTTTACATCTTGACAATTATATTATCTATCTATATCTATCTATCTATCTATCTATCTATCTATCTATCTAACTTCTTCAAAAAGATCAGCCAAATATCCCCACAATGTCATTTTTTTATCCAGCTTGGAAAATTTGGTCCCCAGAAAGAGTTAAATACAAACACACCTCCATGGTTCTTGATGAATAGCCACTGCAAAAGTTCCTCAATGCCAAATTTTACTTTATATTCTTCAGGTTTCTAAATGCTCCTAAAAGGTTTTGGCTTCAATAAATGTTTTTTGATAAACTCTTTAATTCAGGGGTGTGCAAAGTGCAATGTTTGTGGAGGGCCATAAAACGACATTTAAATAAATACATTAAAGAAGATTCAATAAATAAATTATGCATCACAGAAAAATATGTTTGTTCTCTCATAGGGTGAGGCAGTGGAGTCAAGGTGGCTTTCCAAGTCAAACCCCCTCATGGGTGAACTTTGCCCTGTGGGCAACACTTCGGAGAGCCCTGTCTTAATAGGTGTAGAACCTATGTAAATGCATAGAACCTACAATTATATGGAGGTTCTTTAATCTTAAAGGTTCTTCACTCACATATGGGTCTTTAAAGAATCATTTACTGATACGTTCTTCAGGGAGCCAAAAGTAATTCAGTGGTATTCTTCTAAAGAACCCTTTGTGGCACCCTTTTCCTAAAACTGCAAATATAGGGTGCAGAAACCTTTATTGTATAGAAAATCTACATAATATGGAGTTTCTTTGAACTTTTAAATGATTATTCACACTCAAATACCTCAATTTAAACATTTAATTCTTCATTGTTTCCAGTTTTGTCACCATTCTGTTGCAATAAAAAAAACTTTGTGGTAAAAAATGGTATAAAACTTTTACATTAGGTGGAGATTCTTTAAAAGATTCCACAGAAACCTTTTTGGCACCATTATTCGAAAGTGTAACTGCTGCACTGACATCATGAAACCCCATGTTTCTGTTTGCAGGACTGCATTTATTTGCTCCAGTGTAAATTTATGACTCTTTCTTAGATAAATAATTACAAGTCTAACATCTGATAGCATGGATCACCCTGGAGGAGGATTAGCACAGTGTTTAGTGGCCCTCATTACCAGCAGAGAGAGAGAGAGAGGGAGAGAGAGAGAGAGAGAGAGAGAGAGAGAGAGGGAGAGCGAGAGAGGTGCGCTGTGAAGGGCAGATAGGCTGTGGCTTTAATTGCAGGCTCCTCTGCTCGGCTCTCTTATCACAACCTCTCAGAGGGATCAAATGGCTGCAGTGAATGGAGCATTTCATTAACCTGCCACCTTATCACAGGACAACCTGTGTGATGCTAATGTGCACATTACCATAAACGGCATCATTTCTTTCCAAGCTGGATGCTGCTGAGGCTCTCTGGGCCACTGGGATAGACCCAGCAGAGTTAAATGATTGTTTCCTCGCCGCCATCAAATTATACTTACTGGCAGTCATTTTTTAGTTTATTTTACGCCAAGTAGCTTCACCTGTCCAGCTCTCCCATGTTCCAGCTTTATAGATACCATTAAGTCTCCAATCATGCATGTGCATTCTTTAATGTACACTTTATTCACTAACAGGAAACATTTAACTGACAAAGGAGCCAATGCACTGATAACAATGTGATTCTGTTTTATTAATAATGCATCAAAGTCATTTTTGTGGAACTGTAACGCCAGTGTTAAAACTGACAGGGCCTTTGAGGGAACAAATGAGCAGCAAGGAAAACTTACCTTAAAACCAGGGACTCTAAACTAGTGTTTAAAATGATAAAAAACACTTTTTTTGTAATAAAGTTGTAGTGAATTTGTAATAACAACATCATAACATAAAAAATTGACATTTGTAAGCAAGAAATTTATCTGTGACCTCTTAACATTTCACATTTTGGTCTGTCTGTCTGTCTGTCTGTCTCTCTCTCTCTCAGGGCCATTTTATGCTATTAGCAGTATGAGTAGTCACTTAGGACCCCCAAGCCACAAGGGGTCTCATGAGTACATATATTCAGTACTGTGCAAAAGTCTTATACACTCAAGCAAATTGTTTAAAATAATTTATATTTGGAATAAACATGCTTTTGCGTGTAAACATTATACAGCATTAGCATTAAAGCAAATAAATAATAATGCAGTAAAAGTTAATTTGTTCTCAAAAGGTAGTTAAACAAACACATTAAAACAAATTAAATTGCTATTTTTTGCATTTATGTCATTTGTATTTATTCCAATATTGATGTTTTGTGTTTTGTTTGTTTATTTGTTTTCGAGCAAACAAATGCTTATTACCCAGAGAGACATATTTTTAAATATGATGTTCACATGTGCCTAAAACACTAAAAAACTAGCGCACAGTACTGTTTATATACACACTCATGAAGTAGACTAGAGTGACTTTTTTATTTTATATAATTTTATTAACAATAAAGCATAAATAATGCAAACATTATAGTCCATGGTAGCAATTCTTTTATATGCAGTACTTACTTATAGAGATAATTCTGTCGTTTAAAAACTTGCTCCGGTATATCGTTAAATATAGTTTTATCATGCTTTCTAAAACATTTATTAAACTTATGAAATGAAAAGTAGCAAAATAGCACCACTCGGGGTCCCAAAAAGTATTTCGATTAAGATCCCCAAATGTACACACATGCATATACATATTCGTTCACGTGCACACACATATTTACAGATATACATTCTCACCCACATACACATATACCCACCCATAACACCCCCCCGAAACCCACCCATACATACACATACATAGCGCACTAATCGCGTGCCCCCAGCATAGGAGGGGCCTCGTGCTTAAGTAGCCCTGCCAATCAACCCGTCACCATCACACACACGAGAGAGAGAGAGGGAGAGAGAGAGACAGAGAGAGAGTGAGAGGAGCAGCAGGAGGAGCACGCACACACACACTCTCTCAGCGTCCCACACACCGCTCCAGACTGTCCTCGCGCTCGTCCTCTTGCCACATCTGGATTGCTTTGCTGTCCCGCGGGTTTATTCATCGGTTTCTCTCTCCTGCGCGCGCTCTCCTGGGCTGTTTTTTTTTCTTTTTTTTAATTGTCTAAAGGACATGGCTCTGCCTCAGCTGGGTTTCCTCTACGGGCTGGACGGAGCGCACGCGCCGCCGGACGGACTCTCCGAGGGCGCCGCCGCGCTCGCTCCCCTCTTCGCGCCCGCCTGGAGCGCGCGCGGCTACAGCGGCGCGTTCACGCGCACCGGAGCCGAGCTCGCGCTGCTAGCGCACATGGTAAGACATGCGCGCAAGCGCACGCTGTTTTACTGTTGCTCTTAGTTTGGAGTCTCCACGGTATAGACACGCGCGCGCGCGCATACGCCTCTTTCTTCAGTCGCGGTTTAGAGTCTCCACGGTATAGGCACGCGCGCGCGCACGGTAAAGTCTCCCGCTGCGAGCCAGTTTAAAAGAAGAGTCTGAAGTTTCTGGGTTTGGAGTTTGTTCTGTTGGTGTTGACAGAGTTTAGAGCAGCACGTGACATTTGAGCCTTTCGGTCATTTTCTACAGAAATTACAAACGGCTTTAGTGCAGAGGAGCTCTGATAGCTGAGAATGTGAGCTTGGGAGCATTTACTGCTGGAGCTTTAGTGGTCTCAGGTTTTACAGTCAGTCCGCTTTACTGTCTTTATTAAGTTCAAGTCACAGAGGGTCATTTCGTCCTTACCTGGCGGAAGACTAACACACACACTCTCACGATAAATGGTGCTAAACTGTTGCTGCACTGACCCCCTAAAGGTGCATCTTCTGTGCCATACTGGCACGTACTGTACCAAAGTCTGCTGGAGTTATTATTAATTTTGCTGCTGTTGTTGTTGTTGCATTGACTCTATTCAGTCTGACCTGAGTCCAAGCTTTTATGTATTTATTGTTATTATTATTATTATTATTATTATTATTATGTATAAAAGTTATGTAATGGAAAAATATGCCCATTCCCCAAGGGAAAAAAGTGAGTGTAATATACCCTAAAATCTCCTTTAAGCTACACATTTGGGCCTTGGATGGTACGTTTACACTGGAGGGCTAAACTGTACCTGTTCAGTGCCTTCATTTCTGGGAGTGCACTGAGAAACATGCTCACTGAGTCTTTTATTTAAAACAGAAATGCTGGTGGTCACTGAGCCTGATTAACAATTTATGTTCATCCTCGTATTGCCTAGTTTAGCTTAGATTTGCAGGGACAATGCGCAGCAACAAGTACTTCTGTAAATGTGCCAGTTTAGCCAATTTGGCTAATCTTCAACTGCACTAACAAATACTGATGTATTTCTTAAGGACAGTGTCACCACAAGTGTAGATGAGCCAGAGTTAGGCCCAAAGGCTAATTACCTTCTGTTCTCACTGGACACCCTAAAAGATATGAACACTCAATATATCATAAATCATGTGAAATAAATATAATAAAAGATAAACAATAGCAAAACGCACATCTAAATACTCTAGATTTATACATCATATACACTCTTAAAGCTCGCGCGCGCGCACAAACACACACACACACACACACACACACACTAGGTTAACTAGTGTGAATAAACAAAAAATATAAAACTGTAAGTTCTTTTACTCTGCAGTATAACTGATACTTCTGGAACACTCAGACCTCTCTCACTTTACAGTAGCTGTTCATGTAATAAACAATTCAAATATTCTACTTTTAGTTCATATTAATAATCAAAATCTTCTATATTTAGAACTTACAGCGCTTAAAAACTTGAAAGTGAAATTTTCGCGTAGAAATAAACGCCACAAATAAGTTTAAAACTAAATTAATATAATAAAAAGTCCAAGGTAGCGCTACATCGTGTAATTGGTGCAGTTTAATTAACTTATTTCTTTATGAGTAAATAACTCGGGCTAATTAAGTCGTACAAATGTCATTTTTAAAGGTTGACCGTTGGACAATTTAGGGACTGCGGTCATTGTAACAGGTTGCTGATTTCTGTATTTGCTGTATTCTGTAAACAGCATTTGCGTATTTAAACGCTATAAATTATGACGTTTCTAGCTTTAATTAAGTAAATACTAATTGAGCATTTATTTATTTCGAAGACATTTGAACACAGTTTTAACAGATACAATTTCAGTAAACAGCTTCTACTCATGAGGAGAAAAGAAAACTTCATGGTGTTTTTAGCTTTTCTTTCAGTAATTACTGCGATTGTTTTTAAGTCAAGTTAAAAACACATTTCTACCTGTTTATTCAGCCGTCGTGGATAACTCTCCAAAAATGACCCTTAATCAGAACCTAAATATTAAAAATGTCCTTTTCGGCTTAACCTCGTTCCTCCTCTTTCTTTCTGTCATTAATAAGAGCCGATTCTCAGAGATCCAAAACACTGACCTCCTCTGTGTTACCATCTAAAGACATTAGAGAGCAGGAAGCTTCATAAAACCTGCAAAAGCTGCGAAATTTCTTCTGATTTATCTCTGTTGTGTTTTAATATCTGTTTTTGGCCCACAAATAATGAGTGTTGAGGTTATTGGACTCAAACGTGTAAATTTCCACGTCAATTAAATGTATTCCAATGCAATTATTATATTATGTTGCAGTTTACGTACTTTTTGGCAACAATTGAGGTGTAATACATTTTAATAAACGTGTAACAATACATATTAAAATCAGGAAAATTAAATTAACTACTAACTACTAACCGACTAACTATCGGTAGATTTTCACTAATAATCAAAAAAACATATGTAATTAAAAAAAATGTATTTATTTCTGTTTTTTTTTTCTCTGATTCGTTTCCTTATATTGCGATATTGTTCTGCAGTTTATACTGTCTCGTTTTGTCTTGTTGATCCTGTGATTTATATCTTAGATATTTAGCGTTTACATTAAATACTGGGTGGAATGTTAATCTTTTGCTGTTATAACTTTTTTTAATGCTCAGTCTTTTCAAACCTTTCTCTTTTCTGTCCCCTCAGGGTTCTCAGTATGAGCTGAAGGACTCTCCTGGTGCTCAGGCCGCAGGCCTGGCCCTCCACACCCCGCCTGCTTTTTACCCCTACAGCCACTACCAGTACGGCGACCCCAGCAGGGCTAAAAGCGCCACCAGAGAGACCACCAGCACCCTGAAGGCCTGGCTGCAGGAGCACAAGCGGAACCCGTACCCCACCAAGGGCGAGAAGATCATGCTGGCCATCATCACCAAAATGACCCTCACGCAGGTGTCCACCTGGTTCGCCAACGCCCGGAGGAGGCTCAAGAAGGAGAACAAGGTCACGTGGGGGCGCAGCGCAGATGACGTGCAGGTCGGGTTGTCCGAGAGTGAAAACGACGAGGAGGAGGACAAGAATGAGGAAGAAGAGGAAGAGGAGGAAGAGATCGACTTGGAAACCATTGACATAGACAAGGCTGATGGAGAGCGAGCTGCTCTGAGCGACGAGAAAGTGGAGGAGCAGCAGAACAGCAGGGAAAACGCACAGACGCCACGGACATCACCTTCTCCAGCGATGAAGAACACAGCGAGCCCCGTGTCTGACAAAGCGCAGAGCGCTGGGGAGGTTTCTCCAGGGGCAGCGGCCTCTCACAGGCCCGCGAGCGCAAAGCCAAAGATCTGGTCACTAGCGGAAACGGCCACGAGTCCAGATCACTGCCACAGAACCAGTCTCCCATCAGCCACAGCGCACCCAGCCTTCCTCTCCACCAGCGGCATCTACACGTGCCAGGTTGGAAGAGGGGCTAACTGGGCCTTCCTCAGCGCGAGCTCCCTTCTAGGGGTGCGCTCCATGCTGGGAGGAAGCGAGAGTGAAAGCAGCCAGCACGCGCAACGCAGCGCCGTTACGCACGCCGTTACGCACAGGCCGCCGTGCGTAAAAGCGCACGACGAGGAGGCGTCCCGGAGCTTCAGGCCTCAACAGAGCGGTAAGCAATTGTTTGTTTGTCTGGTTGGTTGGTTGGTTGTTTGTTGAGATGTTTATTCATTTATTTGTTCATTCGTTCAATCAATTAAGTTACTCACGCATGTATTTGATTGGTTGTTTGATCATTCATTCATTCATTCATTCATTCATTCATTCATTCATTCATTCAGCTCTCCATCACTTCAATATCTGTTAGCTAGTTTTCTTGTTTAGTGGTTGTTGTATTGTTTTGTTTATAATACAATCTGTTTATGAATTTGTTGCTGTGGTGATTGTATTTATATATTTATTCATAAATTTGTTTATTTATTTATGTATTTGACTAGCTAGCTAGGTAACTAGTGTTTAGGTACTTTCCAATCTGAATTTGAATTAGGCAGCATCTCTGTACCCCTGCCTGCAGCTGTTTTATACATAATGTTCATATGTCATTTATTGGATTGTAATCTTATTTATTGTTTGTTTGTTTGTTTATTTTAGATGAAGAAAACGTTGAAAGAGTTGAATCTCCTGCACTTTCACTGAGGGCCCCATTCCCGGTCATTCACGAAAGGTAAGAAATGCACATGTCAGCACCACCAGCTGCGATAAAGTTACACAATGCTGGACCTTTAAAGAACACATAAGAGATCCAGTCTAATTTTATGTGACAAAACAGTCAGCAGGATTTCTGGTCCTCAGAGAGCTGATCCCTCTCTCCTTTCCTCCTTCCCTACAGGTCTCACCACGAAACAGCACAGCGGGCTCTGAAGAGCATTTCCTGAAGACGCAAATATGACCTAGAGTTTACCTAAATTATTAACCTGTATGGATTTTTAAAAAGGCTCCACTTGCATTCAAATACATCAAAAAGGTATTTTATAGCCCTGAAATGTCCCCACACTGTAAACCCGTTTTATTTTACATTTAGCCCAAATCCAGCATGTGTGTGTTTACTGTGTAGCTCCTTTCCATCAATTTTTCAAGCTGAAAAGAGTTATTTGTCAAAGGCCAGTGGGTGTAAATGATATATTTTTGTGTAATAAACCAAATATGATTAATAGTGTGCTGCCTGAACATCTCTGTCTAATTTCCTGTTTTAAAAACCATGTTAAATCCTACTTAATCAGTTAGTACAGATAGTACTGTCTGTTTTGGTTTTTTATATATATATATATATATATATATATATATATATATATATATATATATATATATAGACCATGGTCTAATCATAAAAAAATAAAATGGATTAATTTGATATCATTTAATTTGATATTGAGTCTGAGAGGTAGAAGGAAAAGAAAGACTAAACATAGAAAACACATCATTTAGCTACACATTTATGAGCCCGGTTTATGAAATCATGTATAATATCATAACTCATTTATGTGTGTAGTAGTATCACAAATGGGTTTTCACTATATTTAATCCTCAAAGGCAGAAACTGAGCTTTCACACCAAGAACCTGCTTGAGTTCTCTAAATGAACAAGTACGCCATCTACAGGAGGATCTAAACCAGTGGTCACCAAACCCTTCCATCTCTGTGAAGGTTTCAGGTCCGGAATACAATCTGATCCACATCATCACACTGCGGGATCATGCATGACACCATTCACTTTAAACACATGACGCCAGTGCCAGTGGGGTAACAAGGCATCCTCACTGTTTTGAATGTGGCTAGTGTGCATATAGTCTAGGGATGTGTGTTAACCGAGTACTCGGTTAACAGCTTGAGCCAGTATTTAAGTAATGAAATTACTACTTGGGTATTTGTTATGTTTCATTATGGAAAGACAGAAAAAAAATAAACAGGCTAACAATTTGCCAATTGCACAAAAAAGAACTGTAAAATGTGAGATCATGTGTGCCAGCACTATATTTTGATGGTCCACTGTTTAATAGTCTGTCTTTAACTTACATTATACTAATAGCTATTATATGCAACTGAACTTGAAGTGGATTCTATTAAATCTAACCCTAACCCTAAACCATAAACCTTAACCTTATCTTTAACACAAAACCTAGACCTAATCCTAAACCTCTTACCCTAATCTTGTTGATAATCAACTAGGCACCACCAGAAAGTCTGTTAAACGTTTAAGTTTCTATAGATCATCAGTATAGGACCATTCAAATAAAGTGTGGCCTACTTTACTACTGCAAAACATGAGTGCCTTAACGTGAGCACACTGCCAAGGATGCATTCCTGAGAATATAGCAGAGAAGGCAGAGATATTGTGACAAATCTGGTGTTGTTTTTTCAATAACCAAGCTATCTACTCTAGCTGCTGTTAGCTGTTAGGTCCAGAAACAGTGAAAATATGTTTATCTGACTAAGTAACATGTTGACATCCACTGACAAGAAAAGAGCTCGGGTCGAAGACGACAAGTCTTCACCAGCATCCAACGATGTATGGTTTACTCTGTTAGCTCATTAGCTCCTCTGCAGAGGCAGCTTCGGTTGCTCATCTTACATGAAAAACTACACATATCCATCAGCTATTTCTGAATAATAAAACATTTTAGTCTCCAGTGCTATTATCGAAAAAGTAAGCCTACAGGACGACGTTAAATCTGAACAAAGTCTGTTCTCTCCATTTTTGTTGTAGATTCCTTCCTTCCCACATATCTGTTCGTTCATTCAACTCATATGAACAGTTGAATATCAAAATTATTCAGAATGCACATCTCTAACATGGCCTTAAGAAAATGAGACAAGGCTTGGAATTGGTCATAAGAAGCAGAGGTGATTCACAGGCCCCTCCACAACACGGGCCATATGCAAGTGCATACCTTGCACACACAGATGCTAAGCCACTGGCCATTGCTTAATGTTCTTATAATCTGTTGCTTACCCACAAATTAGCCTGTTCACATTTAACAGCTTAAGGCATCAATAGAATCGTGGTTGTTATTAATGGATTTCTTTTAGAGAACTTGCACATTCTCTTGGATCAACTGGAGCATGTAGATCAACTAAATAAGGCTGACTGTATTCAAAGCCAGCTCTACCTAATAATCAACACAAGCAGCCCCACCATTTGGCCACTAGAGGACCCCCTAACAACTTTTAAGTATTGATTGTAAGCTACCATCATGTTGTTAATAAGATGCTGTAATGAGGGGAAAAACATGTCTCATGAAAAGAGAAGATGAGCAGAAAAAAGTAAAACATATATATATATATATATATATATATATATATATATATATATATATATATATATATATATGAGTTACATTAAGACTGGTCCTGTTACTATCTTTTCTATATTACACATAAATAAAATTAGAAAATTAATAAACATGCCATGACAGAAATAGACAGCTAAAACACAAATAGGACACATTAAATGAGTAACATTAATATATAACATAATATAGTAATATAATGAATAATAAAAATAAAAATGATATAAAATGATAACACTGATCATTCAGAATGATAGCTTGAGGCCTCTGAGCAAAACTTATTGTTGCTTTAATTTTAAACTGATTATAAGATGTAAATCTGGGAGAATGCCTAGGCAGATGGGGGCTTCTCCAAAAAATCCTGCTTAAGGTCCTCAAAATGTCAGAGCCAGCTATGAGTTTGATTAGCATTGCTCCATAATGCTAAAGTCCAGAACCAGCCGGTTCCGAGACAGTTTCTTCCCCTGGGCCATCAGGCTGCTGAACAGCCAGTAGTGCTGGTGTATCAGTCTATAGGCCTGTATATTGGAATAGTGCAATACTAGTGTATATTGTGTATATGTGTATATATTTAGAGTCTGTGTTTATATATTTCTTTTTTCTTCTCATGTTATGTGAGGTAACAGGTAAAGGGATTTAAGCACAAGGTCTCCTTTACCGGTGAGCACAGAGTGAATAATGGAGGCAGAATATGGATTCCAGCTGTTGAAATGCCAACTCACAGCGTGTGCGTGACTGGGAGGGAATGGGGGAGGACATTACACAGGTAATGTCAGTGATAGAAACCATGTTAAGGTATTTTTAGAGAAAAAACAAAAAAGAGCTGTTTGAACTACAGAATCTCAAATAAGTCAATAAGCACCAAATGGTCATGAATGTCAAGAGGAGAAAAAAATCAAACGCACACAAATCAGCTCAAATATAGTCATTCAGCCGAGACATGCTTGGTGTCTGAAGTTTGCTTCTTTAGTTTTGCACTGAAGCTATGAGGCTAATGTAGCTAACTCATAATGGACACTTACAATCCCTGATTAGCACAGTGCAAACTATATGCCTGAAACATCACACGCTTTCATCAGACTGTTTAGTTGTTATGTAATCTCTAATTGACGAATGTGGTCTTTGACACTGTATGACAAACTGTTATCTATAAAAATGGACAAAAGTGCATCACAGGATAAAAAAGAGTATTAGCAGCATTGCCTGTTGCTTGGTGCTCCTGGCCACAACATTTCATATTTTGGTCTCTAAAACATGCAGAGCTTGTGGTCTGAGTAGCCGTTTGTCTTGAAGATTTTTACTACACATTTTTCCATTTTAGCAAACCACAACACTAGTTGATCTTCACAGACTCACAAATATCCACCATTAACAACAAACAACTAACTTTCACCCTCTCGTGACAGATTCTGATCCTAATCCTGATCCTTGAAGTTGGACAACTAGTAGAATTAAAATCAAATTAGATTTTGTCTTTTTGCCAACTGTAGCTTTGACATTACCTCTGTGATGGCTAACGGCTAATGTCACTGCAATTCTGAAGTTTCTAAATTCCAAAGGTTTTAATGAATATTTACTTTCCCAAAGCAACACAAGTCTGTGTTTGTACTGAAGTATTAACTGTAAATACAATGTATAGAAATGTTTCTAAAATTCCCCACCAAGTTATTCATTTTGGCCACAATATTCACTGGTTTTGTGGGTTAGGGTTAGTGCTATATATACATACAGTGCAATATATATATACACTGCCATCTTGGAGCTTGATTTGTGTGAGTGCTTTTCTCCAAAACCACCAAAGCAAGTATGAGATGATGTAGGGCTGCAAGGATGCACAATGTTAATTGGTTGGGCATAGACTTATTGTACTTGTTAGCAAAGATGTGAGTCGCCTCATGTGATACTAAATTGAGTCTCAAGTTTCTGGGGTGTGAGTCAAGCCTCTAGTCTAGAAGAGACTTTTAGTTAGAAGAGAATTTTAGTTTAAACAACTTGAACAGACCAGTTAGTATTTTAGTATTTTAAACACCACATTTACAAACATGTAGCACTTCAGTCTCGTTCATTAGATTGAGGTAAAAGGCTTGTTATTTGAAGCCATATTGAACCAGAAACCACTACAAGCTTTGGGAGAATGTCACTGTAGTAAAGACTATGCATGACACTAATAAAATTGGCTGGAAAAGTCAAACATTCAAGGTTGGAAATAAAAGTTATTATTCATTTTTTACAAGGCTGGTCGTCCTAATTTAAACCGTTTTTTCCTGTTTTTTCTCGGGCTCAGATTTCATGAGTTTTCGTCTCAAATCCAAGTTATATCATGAGTATGTTAACGCTGAGTCCAAGTCAAATCATGAGTCAGTTGATGGGAAGTCCGAGTCAAGTCTCAAGTCAATTAATGGTCCGAGTCAAATCATGAGTCAGTTAATGGCAGGTCAAAGTCAAGTTGCAAGTCAGTTAATCGCAAATTCGTCTCCAGTCATGAATCAGTGAATGGTGAGTCCGTGTCCATCGAGAGTCAGTTAATGGCGCCTTGTCCGCGTCCAGTCACCAGTCAGTTAATGCTGCGTCAAGCCAAGTTGCAAGTTAGTCAGCATGTAACTTGAGAGCAAGTTGAGTCTGAGTCTCTGACCTAAGTCCCCATCTCTGCTTGTTAGCTACATTAGTCTTATAGCTCCAGTTCAAACACCAAACACATCTTGTCTGATTGGCTACATTAGAGCTAAAAGAAAAATTGTGTAAATTTGATGTTAAACTGAACTATTCCTTTAAACTTCCACATGTTCCACTATTTTGTGCATGTTGGACATTAAAAACGATTCTGTGACAGAGCGCG